AGGAGAAGTTCTATGCATCCGTCTGGGAGGCATTTGGCGAATAATCGTACTTTTCAGCAGATACAGGTGTATGCACGTGGATCCAACTTCAATATCAGCCTAATTTAATTTATCAACCGTTGTTAAACTATAACTGCGTACCTTCAGGCGCGCAGACCGCACCTCAGTCCCACGGTCCTACTTGCTTCGGCAACCCAAATCCCTTCAGATGGGAAGAGCAGGGAAACAAGGCGGGAACTCGCTAAGCGGTGTTCATTTGTGTGAGTGGAACTAAAAGTGTGAGCAACGGACATGACCCTAGTAAGCTGATGCGTGTATTCGCATGTTGCAAGTGTAGGAAATGGATGCAGCATTCTTCTGGGTTGGTAAACCGTGAACTTTATAGCCTAAGGCTGTCTGGAGTATGCTGGGTTGGAACAGTTCTTTAAACTTTTAACAGCTGGAATCGGCACACCTGGGTCTGCTAACCAAAATGGAGAACGTTTTAACCGCTGCCGTAGTCACAACTGTGTCAGAGATTATCATTTTCTAGCGACTACTGCGTTTAGAATATCCTGAATGCCAGGAATCGGAAGAGAAAACGAATCAACGAATAGGCTATTTGTGAAGGCGAATATCCCCGCCCATAACATATCCCAGCACCTACCTTAGGACACAAGTTAAAAGGGTGCCTTTACTAACGAAGCCTCCAAAAATATGCTAATTTCCATCAGACTTGGGGCACTTTTTGCGAACGCCGCGTAATCCTACTCCAATTGAAATAGAAAAGTAGGCCTAACGGATCTCAAGTTTGTGCTAAAGGATGTACCATAAAAAGGCAGCCGAACGCTATTTTAAACGAAGATATCAGATGCATACTTTATTGTGCAAATCATCGTGCTTTCCTATAAGAAATTAGGTTTGAACTGGCGGATAAATAATCTGCCCTCCATAGCTATCCTTCTGACTACATATAATTTGTGTGGTTTTGAGTTGAGTCGTTTCCTGATCGGATATCCCTTAAACATTCCATTAATTAAATACCGGTTTCTGACATTTTGCTGATGCCTACAACCTAATATTGCTCAATCTCCTATCGCTGCATCATTGCCATTCAAAAAATATTTACTACACTAAATTCAGTGTTTATACCCTTGTTATGCTACTCAACCACTCCATTGGTATTCCCTTCAGTCGCGAATTCTTCGGCATATTGTCTTCATTTTCTTCGCTTGTTGTAAAACAAATAAATATTTTAATACATAAATGAACGAGAAGATGGGAGTCACTATCATTTTTCACTTTCACCTAGCAGTTGACTATCTCACTATCTCCACCACTTAGTAGTGAGGTCTGGGCGCGGCGCCCGGTGTAGCGTTGAAGCCTCCTGCTACAGTGGCCGGACGCGTTAAAGGCAGTATTTGAGGTCTCACAGAGACTTACTCCATCTCAGACAACACGTGCTTTGGGCCACAAACAAAACAGTCAATAAAGAGCCGTTCACGTAGCTAGATTCCCCATCTCATAAAATATTAACCGAAATCATAAAACGTCTTTGTAGATTCAAAAGAAAATTACTTAAGTAAGGTTGTCAGTTTAATTACCACACAGTGTCATCCGAAGGTGTTCAGGTCACGTCAGGATGTCGCGGCTTTTAAACGAGCTTCTTCCTGACCGCCGGCAAAAAGTATCCACCACATAAGTAGTATGCGTGTTTCTCCTTGATTCTAAATGCCCTTATAAATTCATATATGTATTTCATAGAAATCCTGCACAAAGTATTATTATTTCCACTCATTTACCAGCAAGGTAAGGGTTCGTTGAAAAAAGAGTATCATTTTGTTTTAAAAGGTTTCTAATTACCATATTTTTTAAGGTCGTAAAATGGTGATGCATGAATCATCGCATCTGCCAATTTATTAATGTTGCCTATAATGTATACAACATTCATTGCAAAGTTCCATGAGCACTGTGCGACCTCCTCCTCTTAATGCAGATAAATATGTAATCTTCCTTAGTCGGACTATATACGGTATGTAATTTGGAAGCCCCGAGTTCAATTGTAACGACCGGTACGGTTTAAAATTATACAGCATTGTAGAACGATTGTTTAAAACTAAAAGGTACCCAGTTCCTCAAATGTGAAATTTAGTGAAGGTGCAATTTTCTACGAGAGGAGTTCAATAAACAATGCGTTAGTAAATGTGTTCTATGAAATATGGTTGAATTTCTAACGCCATTGAAAATCAATAAGAAAATGCACAATACCTAATTAGCCAGCTATTACATAGCCTTCTTTTTGCAGGTGGTCACCTAGTCCCCATGCACGTTTGCAAGAGATGGGACCATATTGTATAATTTATAGGTAAAGTCACTTAATCGACGGCTACGAGGTTTTATTAAAGAAAATTTCACGATCTTAAAACATCTCAGAACTAGACATTTTATAAACCGAAAGATACGCGTTCCTAAAATGGAAAATTTGAAAAAGACATAATACGCTTCCAAACAAGTACAAGAAATAATATGCTTGGACATGTTTTCTAAAAAGTATGTTTTAAGATAAACGGGCATTGAAAATCAATAAGAATATGCATATTACTTATTTCGTCCTTTTTACAAAGTACGTTTGGTGCAGGCGACCAGAATGAAGCTCATCCAGATAACGGTATCCTGCCGTGACTGAAATATATTTTTCGATTCGGCTGCATGCTAGTCATTATTTTTCGACTCAACCACACATTTTGAGAATTTTGGCTGACACTGGTCATAAGATCTACAAATAGCAGAGTTATTGCGCAATTTAAATACACATATTTGACAGCATTCAAAGCTCAACTAGTCATTATCAGACTTCGTTTAATTTCTTCGACGTCCGCGTGATCCTACTTAAGTAAACTTGATTAATAGGAAGGTTATGAATTCTATGGTTTTAAATAATGGCATTTTCCAAAATAATTATTTTTAATGCTTATTTAAAAGAATACATTAAACTTACACTTGACTACACAAATTTGTACTTCAGTGAAATAAATAAGGACTAAACTGGGTTCTAGCTATTCAGCTCCTTGTCATAATTTCCCGCACTAACTTAAATGTACGGGCGGAGATTGCCTTGGGTTATTTTCTTACCGCCGGTTCAGTTAACACTTTTGTAAATTAAATACCACCTGCCGATGCCTTGGCGGTAATAACTGCAGCCTAATGTTTTCCGTTCTTTTCACCTGTAAATAAACAAATGGTGAATCAGCTTTGAGGTCCTTTTGCGCGTCTCTCCCCAACCTCTTACGTTTTTTTAAAACTTCCTCGTTTGTTAAAAGAAAAACAATAATAGTTGTATAAATGTTCTGACGGGGAGAGTAACCTCTCACATCTCCCTTCCAAAGGCACCAATCATAACATTTCCGCAAACGGGGAACGTGATTGGACGAAATTCTTGGTATGAAGTTAAGGTCTCCATATGCGCGTGCCACGGGAGTGCCTAAGGTGTCACATAGCCTTACTATAGCACAGCCAGGTCATATCATAGACCAATATTGACGTTTCTTTGGCTCAGCGCAACAGGTATCATGGTGGCTACGGGAGAGTTATCGGCCAGTTCAACCGAAATAAGCGACCAAGGCGAATTCACAGATGAGAAAACATCCGATTCAGAAAACACACAACTCACGAAATTCGTCCCTTAAAGGCGATGCAGAAGAGTCCAGGAGTGGAATATGGCAGTAAGCTTATTGAAGAAGGATGACCAACAACTACAGAGCACCCAAATCAGAAATCGAAAAAATGTTCCGGTGAAATCGTCTTGTTTTATAAAGGTCTAGAACACACGGAAGTCAGTATGCAATAACAATCAGCGTTATAACCAGATGACTATAGTCGTCAGCCTTGTCAGACGTTTTTTACTTTTCGTCCAGAAACGAAGTAAAGGCAGCTGTAACAGGAATATCAATAGGTTTCACGTGGACGCAAATAGGAGGCGGAGTTAGGCACTTGGGCAGCGGTTGTTACACGTGAGTACGCGAGGCTTGGCAAATAAGTGCAACATGTGTCAGCAGCAGTACTGACAGCTGATGAAAGCAGGTACGCACAAGCTTTCGGGCCGCTTTTAGGCTCAGTTTTCAGAGGTGTGCTCTGCGCAACAGAATAATCTCTTTAGATTGCGACCGTCCTTGTCGAATGCGACACGCGCCGCCACAAGTGGTTGTATCGATTTGAAAGCACTCAACAATCAGGGGGCTTGATCGCATTGCTCCGCTCAGTGAATTAGTGTTTGGGAGGCAATTTCTGGTTCTACACATCTGCACATCTACGCAAATAACGCTCAAATTGCGGATTCAAAAAATCGGGAAATGAGCAGGGGGGACAACCAATCCACACCATACCTG